ACTTTTTTTTTTAAGTTGAAAATTCAAGAAAATCTTGTTTGGGACAAACATTCTGGAGAATTAATTGGTTATGTTGATTTGGGCGATCCTGTTGTTAATTTTGCAACATTACAACAGGCTGACAAACTTGCTTCTCATGAATTAGTTTTCTTAATAAGAAGTATTGCAAATCCTTTCAAATACAGTTTTGCAAACTTTGCCACTATAAATATTACATCAGTGCAATTATTTTCTTTATTTTGGAAAGCTGTAGGCATTTTAGAAATCTCAGTTGATAATTTATTTGCTGATGATGACAATCAAAAGTTTATATATTTTATTTCTGATGTCCCTGATTTAATTAAAACAGCAAGGAGCAGCCTTTCTCATTCTGGAGCTTTCAACATATTATATGGTCTCATATAACTAATTTATTTTACGAAGATTTAAAATATTAATTGCATGCACGTCCAAAGCTAACCATTGAGCACCTCAATTTTCAGCTATGAATATTCATTTAGCTGCACAAGTTTTAAGTAATTCATGTAGTACTGCATTAGAAATCTATGCATCATCTGATACTGCTGGAACTGCACAGTTTTGCAAATATTTTAATGGTTTTTTTGATTGCTTAAAAGTTCGTAATACAAATGATTACATATTAAAACACAACTCATTTTTAAAACCATTTTCTGATACTAATGATATTTGATTTACATGGCTAAAAAAAGTTTTTTTAAATACCGTACTGATTTTTTTTTCAAATACCTGGCTTTTTTCTATTGAATCAAGACCTGGAAATTTTTTCAAAAGTGATAAAAGTGATATGTCTATTACTTGGCAAACCCATGAAGGTATAAAGATCACAGTTAACTCTGTTATTGAACTTGTCAAATTTTTAATTAATAACAATGTAAGTTATGTATTAACTGAAAGGTTTTGTCAGGATCCTTTAGAAAATTACTTTGGACAACAACGGTCAATTGGTAGAAGAAATCCTTTGTTGTTTGATTTTGGATTCAATGATAATACTATTCGAAATCAACATACATTTCACCCAATTGCAGGTAACTGTTTTGCACTGTAACTCTCATATTTTGGAAAGGTGTAGCTAAAATTTTAGGGCCATTTTTTTCAAAGCATCTTTATTTGATATAAAAATAAACACAAATTTTTGAAGTTTGTTTAATGTCTGGAAGTAAGGTATCTCAAACATCAAAAAATGCTGCATCCACGCCTGATATATATATATATATATATATATATATATATATATATATATATATATATATATATATATATATATATATATGTAATACTTATAATTTATAGTAGGGTGACCTGATCAAGGTAGGAGTTCTTTAACCTTGGATGGCAATCTTTCTGGTTGTAGTTTCACAATAAAAATACCCAGTTCTAATCTTAATGAAACAACACTCTCTCTCTCTTTGAGTCCATCAGAGCAGAAAGTGAAAATATTTGTTTATTACAAATTTAAAACTATTGTGTGTATATAATAACTTTGTACTACATTTTGATAAGGGTCCTTTGGAATTAAAGTCTTAGGGGCCTTCTTATGACTTACTGACAAACAAATCGAAACATTTTTGTAAATTAATATTTTTTATGACAAGAGTTTCTATGCCAAGTATGAATTATGAATTTTGTAAAAATTGTGGCTATGAAAATAGCTGTTTTTGAAAGTGATATTACATTAAACTATTTATTCGAATCCAATTGATGCTTTTTTCTTTTTTGAACAGAGTGATTTTGATTTTGTTTGATTCTCTTTAAGTTTGTGGATACTTAGTTTTTCTTTTGCATATGAAAAAGATCTAACTCTAACATAAAATGTAACTAGATAATAAAACAAGTTTAAAGACAGTTCTTTGGATACTTGATCTGTGCTAAAACTACAAAGTTCAGATATGCTTGCTATAACAACACTGTCTTTTAAAATTTTGGCTACAATCATTCTGAATCAGTTTTTTTTACAAAACCATTACTTTGATGGCGAAAGAGAAGCTCAACTTTTGTTAAGATTTCTAAAACTGGAGGAGACACTTTCCATAAACCACCTCGATTTTTAGCATTTACAAATTTTTGGTAAGACTCAGTGGATGTTTCAATATTCTTAAAAAAATGTTCTATTTTACCAGCATTAAGAAGTGGAAGGCAGTCTGTGCTTAACTTTTGCTGCCATACCTGCAAACTGCAAACTCTGCAATAAAATGTACTGATTACATAACCACTTAGATAAGATAATTTCTTTATCTCTATCTGAAAGTTCCACTGACAACAAATCATTAAATTTACAAAAGGATTATTATAAAATTTATATCATAATTATTGTAAAATGAGTTTGTAAGAAATGCTAAAACATGATTGCATAGTTCATAGCCAAGAAGTCTAGTTGTTTTTTAGTTCGACTGTTAATGAAAATTCCTCTATCACAATTAATATCTTTGTAAAATTGTGGATAAAACTTTTCTGCATCGCCATTATCTTTAAAACTAGCTATTGTTGCCTCTAATAGAGATAGAATTTTGTTGTGAATTTGCTGATAGAATTGCATGATTAATGCTTGAATCATTTCTATACAAATCAGGATATCATTTGTCGTCAATCAAGGTAGTAATGCTTTTATCAAGCAGACTTTTAAATTCGCTGAGAAGAATATGTGGTTTAGGATTTTGTAATGTTAAATCCAAAGGAATACTTTGATGTTTTGAATTTGTATGCCTTGTAAGGCCCTTTGAGATATGCTCTTTTTAGAGCAAATTGTGCAAGAAAATGTGCTTTCAACAGATTCACTAAACTTCGACACCAAGGTGTCTAAATCTTTATTAAAATTTTCGTCTGCAAAAAGAAAATCATTCTCTAAAGAAAAAAATAATGTTTCAATATCAAACTCACCATTGAACTCTTTATCTGTTTCCATACTTTGTGCACTCTGTTCCTGGCCGTTCAACAGTTATCAAGTGTTTTTAATAAATATTAGAAAAATTATATTTTAAAAATTTGATCGGACACTGTTTGACCCAAACAAGTTTTGATTGGACATTTTGTCTAGGATTTTTTAAAAAATCAAATTGAGCCTTGACCTGTTTTTCTTGTTCAATATTATCTGCAAATCTTATCAGCTTAAGTCTGGATTTAAAATCTTTGAATGATGTAGACTCCACTACCGATTACGGTAAATTATTCCATTCTAAGGCAACCCTGTTTGTAAAAAAGTGTTGTCTACTTAAACAATCTAATTAACAAACTCTGATTTAACACGATGTTTATTAACTCTAATATTGGATGCTGGACCTGATGTATTGATTGAATGCATTTGTATCTGGACTTTCTTCATATCAATAGATTCAAAACCTTCATATAATTTATATTGTTGTATAAGGTCACCTCTTAGTCTTCGAACTTCTAAAGTTGTTAAATCTAATATTTTTATTCTTTGATTATATCCCAAATTTCTTAATTCTGGTATCAACTTAGTTGCTCTTCTTTGAACTTTTTCAAGTTCTTTGATATCTTTTTTATAATAGGGATTCCAAGCTTAAATTGCAAATTCCAAATGAGATCTAACCTACGCGCAATAAAGCATTTTTATTAGGTACTTATCTTTATACCTAAAAGTATTATTTAATATTGCAAGCATATTGTTTGCTTTACTGGCAGCATTCCTTACTTGTCATACCCATTTCAAATCATTGGATATATAAATATCTAAAACTTTTTCAAGAGTAGATTTTTTAATTTCTTTTAGTTCACCATCATTTTTCATGAAATAAGAATATCTCTTATTACTTGCACCAAAATGCAAATTTTACATTTCTCAAAATTCAAACCCAGTTTCCATTCAACAAACCAGTCATCAAGTTTTTTTGTCATTTTGAAATGATTTTGAACCAACCTCTGCAGCGCCGTACTATCGCAAGTGCAACAAGTGCAATCGCACTGGGCCCCCTATTAAATACATATAATTTTTTTAAATACAATCAATAAAAAATTAATTCAAATTTAAAAAAAAATTTTTTTTTAGTTTCTGCACAGGGCCCCCAAAAGTTACAGCACGGCGCTGAACCTCTGTATAAATAGGAGCGATTACTTTATTGTCATCTGTTGGAATATCGTTTTATAATGCACTTGTTAAGGTATCAAGAAATTCTAATAAATTCGTTGTGCAGCTTTTACCTTTCAGAAAGCCATGCTGTTCCTTTGTTAAAAGCTTGATTATATTATCAGCAACTATTCTTTCTAATATTTTGCATGCTATTGATGCCAGAGATACTGGTCTGTAATTTGTTTCAACTTACTCCCTTGTTTCAATATAGGAGTTGTATTGGCCTTTTTCCAATTAAACACAAAATTTATTGAAACATTTTTAATATTATCACATTTCAGACTGTTCTTGGTTAACCAAAAAAATTTCTTAAATTAAGATTTTTTTTATTTAAAAAAAAATCCTTGTTTACTCAATATTCAATTTCTAATGGAGATATAACTTTAAATGTCTTAAAAAGAGACAATAACAAATGCGTAAATGATAGAAAAATGTGAAATGAATTCTTAATAAAAGTTAATGTTACTTATTACAAAAAAAATATAAGATGTACCACACAAACACACATTATCTATTTTTAAATATATAGACATGTGTAGACACCACTGAATTTACAAATTGTTCTTAATTTAAATCGGTGACCTTAATCAAAAAGTAAATAGTTATGCTAAAAGCAAAATTTTCTTGCAACACACGAGTTATTACTTTTTCAGGAGGAAGCTATAGCAACCACTGATATTCTTCTTCTGAAGAAATTTATGAAATTTCTGTTTTACAGTTGCTCTTTATTTTTTTATAAAGTTCTTTACAATAAAAAAATTTTAAATATGAAAAATTAAACAGTATAATAAAATCATACAAACCAAATATAATACATCTACCTACAAAATACAAATCTACATACCGAATAAAAAACACAAATCTCATACCAAATACAAAATACAAATTTACATACTGAATATGCAACTTTGCCAAGAATAGGTTCAGGTACAGGAGTTCGTGTTGTTTTCAAAAGTTTTTCTAAGCAAGTTCCCATCAGCTCCATGCATACATAAACGTCTGACTAACTCAAGATAAATTTAATTAATATTTTAAATGTGATGCAATAATTTAATATGACAATTATTTCATCATTATGTGTTACACAGATAAAACAATTAACTGGGTATCAGGATTTTTATTATATTATACAATTTTTTTAATTTAAAAGCATCTTAATAGTTTAAGCCTAATAATTTTTCAACATCAGAGTAGCGCATAGGATGATTTCATGTTATATGAGGCGCGACTGTTAGTCCAGTATTGGATGGGAGCTCAAATGCTTATAACAGATCTTTTTTTTTTAATGCGTTATTTGCTTAGTAGACATTTTTTATTTGTTTTAGTTGTTTGTTAAGATTTTGTTTCTCTTATCAGTTTATGGTTTGTTTATTTTTATAACTTTTTCTTAAGTTTATTTTGGTTTTTTGAACACATTTTTAAAACACACAAATTATCAAAACTTGCAAAGTGCTGTGGCCAAGTTGTCAAAACAAAATATTATATGCCTGGTCACATAAGGCATCCAATTGAATGCCAATCCTCAGAAAGCTTGTTATATTGACACTGTCCTAATATATTTTAAACACATAAAGTTTTTAAATGCTGACCTAAATCCTAGAAAAAAATGATTTTTTTTTTTTTTTTTTGCTTTGATAAAAGTCATATCATCATGATAAAAAAAAAGCCAAAACACTAAATGTAGTTTTATGTTAAAAAAAAAAAACTACAACATTTAATATTCTTGATTTAAGTTTTTTTTAACAAAATATGAGCAATAAATGGAACTGTAAGAAAAAAAAACAATTTTAAATTGCCGAGTCAGTATAAAAACATACTAGCAAAAAAAAAAAAAAAAAAAACAAGAACACAAATATAAGGCCATGTGATTAAGCAACAGAGTAGAGCATTTTTATTAGGTTACACCAAAAAAATTTTTGGTTGGTAATATTTAAATAACTTTATAGATACATTTGAGCAGTATTTTAATAAAATTTGTTAACGCTTTGATGAAGTAGTTAACAATTCAATAAAAAACAATTAAAAAACTGCAGACTGCTGCGACTAAAGTTTAAATTACAATACATAAAATATGCTTCTTATTTGCAAATATGATAAATTCATATATTTTTTATATTTTTTCCCCATGTTTTCAAATATTTACTTAACAAATTTTTTAACATGGAAAAATATAACTTTTTAAAATAATATACTCAATAAAAATTTCAACAGTATTTTAACCACTGATTTTTTAAAAGATCTTTAAAATGTGAAACCATTCCTGCTATTTCTTTATCACTAAGTGTAATCACAGGATTCATTGGCCAAAAAGAAACATCCAACAGAAAAATTAAAGTACAGAATAAAGAAGATACCTTAATATATTTGAAACAAAAATCCATACTAACTGTTAAAGTATTCATTATATCAGCATAAATGATTTACACTGATGCATCTTTTCCAAACTTTTAAAAATCCCCTTAATTCCCTTTTTTCGACAGCTGAGAATCTGTTTGGCTAAGAAACTATAAGAGCAATATATGCACCGTAAATATCTAAAGCTATTTCCATTTCATTCCACTTATGATCCAGCCAGCAAGTACTGTATGGTTTTGCTGGTTTAAGAACAAACTTTTCCCAAGCTTCTAGTAATTTTTAATTCTTGTTGATGTTTTGACAATTACTCATAAAAACAATGAAACTTTAGTAAGAAGTTTTCACAATTTGCAAATGCAGTTAATTTTTCAAAAGCATCTTTTAATTCGAGCTTGTGATGATGGTTGTAACAATGTATCATTTGAAGCCATGAAGATTTTTTTTTTAGTACAGCTTCTAAACCTGATTGAACACCAAGGCTTACGCTAGCTCCACCTACATTTAACCCTAATGCTTGTTCAAGACATTTGTAAACCACAGGCATTACCATTGTCAAGGCTTTCAATGGACTGGTTTAACATATGAACTGCCCTCATACAAATAAAATACATACGCTAATTCTTGTTCCAGTGTAGCAATATCACAACTCTCATCACATAAAATTAAATAGTATCTTGACTTAATATCTAAATTAAATTTAGCAATTTGACCAATCTGTAAAAAAAACCAGGAGCTCGATTACTATTACTATTACAATGATGAATGCAGCTTTTTTTTTTTTTTTTTTAGCTCTAGCAAATTAGGGAAATCAGAAAATGGGTATTCGTTTTTGGCCAAGTAGTAAACTGCATTGAATTTCTTCTCAAGTCACAATCTTTTCTGCCCATTTCTTACAGACCTTTTCCAATAGTGTTTTGAACATACAAGTTTATTTATTAATCTTTCAAATTTCTCCATCGACTGACATTTTTTCTATAAATTAGTACCTGTCGATTTCATTTAGAACCATATATTCAGTTAATATACAATTAAAAAACTTGAAAACTTTGTTTTTTTATGAACAATGCGAAGTTTCCTGTTCCTATGATATATCTATTGGCATTGGTTTTAAAAAAAGGTCATCAGTAAAATGAGCTTGGACAAGTTCAAGCTTATATTTGAGCATAAATAAAATATTTTGGTAGATGTTAATTTAATAGAGATTTAAAGCATTCAAGTTTTTAAGTAAAGGATCAGCATTATTAATATGTAAATTTATTTTAATATTAAGAAACACATCAATCTTGATGTGTGTTTCTGGTGTATATATAGAAAATTTAGTTAAGATTTATTTTGTACTTCCCCAGGCAATATTAGCATATGTTAGATAACTTTGTTCATGAGAATTTTTAGATTCTCCTGGGAAAGTATAGGTTTGACTTTGTAGAGTATGCTGATACTTTTTGATATTTTGTATATAATGTTTTTATATGGGCTTTCCGAGAAATCTTTTTATCAATAATTATTCCAAGAAATTTAATGGTTTCAGTTCTTTCGATGTTTATGTTATCAATTTTTAGTAATAGTAGCAAGCTTAGTATTTTTTTATTTTTTTGCTGGTTGGAATGAAACAAATTGTAATTTCTTTCTGTATTTAAAGATTTAAATTCTGTATTTAGCAAATTTAAAAAAAATTAAAAAAAAAAAAAAAAAAGTTACAAAAAGATGCTTTAATGCTCTAGACTTTTTTATTTTTATTTTGTTACAAATTTGAGCACATCTTTCAGTGATAAATGGATAGAAATTTTATGTTTTTAGCATTTTATCTAATATTTACATGGTTTCAAACTGTTGTGACTTGGCTTAGTTTACAGCAAGATTGTTGACCTTGCTAGCCAAATGGTGTATTTTGCTATGTGACTTGGCTTTGTTAAGAGCAAAAATGTTGTCCTTGTCAGTAGAGTGGTGCACTGTCATGATGAAACATAACTTAAATCTGTTTGTCATTAGTGTAATCCTAAAATGTGTTTAAATGTGTTTAAATGTTGTTATGCTCTGTTCTTTTTTGTTGACATATTATTTATGCTTTTGACTATAATTTTGACTATAATGATCATTTATGCTTTTGACTATAAATAAATTTTGTTAAAAAACTTCCTTTTTACTAATAGCTCCTTCCCATTAAAACAATTAAAAGTTTCGATTTCCTTCATTAAATATGTTTAACATAAATTTTTTATATATATATAAAGGTAAGTATACAACGTATTATAACATAAGTTTTAGTAACATTCATTAAATTCTTAGGATTTTTTGTATAGAGAATGTTTTCTCCATATTATTATTTTAATGTTTTATATATATATTTATATATAAAAATTATGTTAGTGTATTCAACAAATAGTGTGCTCAATGTTCTAAAAGAACAGAGCAATAATAAATTTAAATAAACAAATTTTATATCTATATATCTATCTATCTATCTATCTATAAATATATATATATATATATATATATATATATATATATATATATATATATATATATATATATATATATATATATATATATATATATATATATAGACATTTTAATTTTTCTGCAATATATTATTGACCTTTTTCTTTAGAATATTAAAAAATTTAAAATAGTTAAAGAAGTTTCAATATTTCCAAGTTTCTTCACTTGAAGCAAATGTATGATTGTTTATAGAGATTTTCTTTTATTAGTTTTGTATTTACTTATTTATTGATTATTTAAATTTTGTATTAAATGCGTTTCAAAGTAATGAAAGGGTTTTTAACTTTAAATAATCAAGAAAAATCATTTGCTTCTGTGTTTAAAAATATGATAGAAGTAGAGGATGAAAAAATGATGATGGCACAATCAACTGGAGCACTGTTTTACTTTGTCCGAGTATTATAGTTATAATTTAATGCTGCTACTTATTCGTGCATGTTTGACTCAGAGTTTTTAAAGAAGATTTGTTATGCTTGACCATATAATATATCACTTTATATTTTTGACCACATAATAAGGTATTCTCAAATCTTTATTATCTCTATTATAATCGGTTAATATCTGTTTAATCAGTTATAAGATCTTGGATTATCTTATATTAGATAATTTGATGCAATCATAAATTCTGTCATAACTGTGCAAGTACCTGTAATATATAAAATGCTTTTATGTGTGCTATGTGTAAGTGGTTATGTTGTTTCCATGGCTTTAAAGTGTTGTGACTTGGCTTGTGAGTTTACAGCAAGAGTGTAGTATTATTATTATTATTTTTAATATATAGCTCTAGCTGCTTCTTCTGGTAAATAAGCTAATTTAGATGCCTACAAACGTTATTAAATAAATATTTTCAAAGAATATGAAAAAATTCATAAAAATTATTAGTTTCAAAAAATGTTTCACTAAGAGGTTCTCCTAATAATAATTTTTTTAATTGCGTTTTTCTCGAAATATGTAATAAGCATCTTAAGGTCGTGCAAATATTTCTTTCAATTCAATCAATCAATATAATACGTCTAGTTTAAGTGAGTGCAATAAGTTAGTTGTTTTACTTAATATTTAATAGTAATATACACTTATATTTGACTTGCATTTGATTGATTGATTGCTTTTATGTAATTTTAATTTTTATGTAGCTGCAGCTTCTTCTGC